AATCTAAGCAGAGGCCACGGACGCAAGCACGGAGGGCGGCCTGGCTCAGGGTATCAGAGTGCTGGCAAAGTTAAGAGGGTGCTTGCTAAAAATGCTGTCTGGTGTGGGGTATTACAGCCCACATCGGGTGAGGAGTCGTGTGAGAGGGGACAGCAACACTAGTCTGGTTACAGGTGGGGGATTGGCAAAATAAGTAAATATGTTGAGAAGGGGAACCAGGTCTCTGCTGGAAAAGCAAATAATAAATTCGGAAAGGAAGAAAAAGTAGGATGACCCCTGTGGTACCAGATTGGATTAGAAGTATCAGGGTGAACTCCACTGTCAATGTATGTAGATACAGAAATATAGATAAAAATGTGTATATGTAACCTTAGCTCTGTCCCATCGGAGGGCCTGAAAACAACAATAGCCCATAAGCAAAAATCTTGGCCTCTAACCACCATTCTCCACTAAGAGAAACCAGGACTCTTCGGAGAAATGACTAATTCCAGGGCTAAGACAGACACAGTGCTAGATGAGCCTAGACTATACTGTTATAAGAGAAAGTAAGGAACTGTTCAAAGGATGCGGGGGACATGTCGTAAGGCCAGAGCTGGCCTCCAGTATGACAGGGCTCCCTGCAGCCAAATCTGAGACAATCTGAGCATCAAAATAAGTAATAATAAGGGAGTATAACTCCTTGGATAATACACGAAACTATAAGTCTAACACAAATAAATGAATAAATTAAAAATCTGATGAGAAATATGATATATACGTGTTGCACGGTACCTCTCCACAAAATACGAATTAAATAATTACAGAGAGGAAAAAAAATAGCTTTACATTGGAGAAACCTGACAGACACCACCTTAATCAAAAGATCAAAGTGAACATCAGCAGTAGCGGGCCCAAGTGCAATCCTGTGCAACTGGACAGATGTGGAGAAGAGCGCAGTCTCGCTCCCTTGAGATCCCCTGCCTGGCGCACGTTACCGACTCGGCTCGGAGTCAACACTCGACCACCAGCACCCGCCTCCCCGAGCTTCCATCACCCCAGACAGACCTACAATGCCACACACGTTTTGTCGGCACGGGGTTCTTGGAATTAGGAAATGACGGCGTGTAGAAGCAGAGAAGACGGGCGGACAGGCAGGGGCCTAGGGCACAGGAAATAGCACCATTTTCCAGGCCATGACATAAACGGCTGGCCAGCAGTCATAGTCCATTGCCTGTCTCTTCAGCACATTCTGAGTGTCCGAAGGAACTTCTCCCTGAAACCCATACTTCTGCTTGCAGGAAGCACAGGCCTAAGGAGGAGAAGGGAGGGGCACACCAACCGATGTGCTCCCAGGACAGTCCTTTCCCCACTGAAGCCACGCAGCATCGTCAAATGCAAACATCGCCCAGCCTCCCAGACACTCCAGCAGTGACAGGAGAAACATTCTACAACACACACCAAACCAAGCAGAAACTGCCATTTCATTTCACACACTCAACCAATAAAGAAAAAGAGAACTAGATTTTAAGCAGTGATTTTTTTTTTCCTCCTTTTGTTAGGGATAGGTCTTTCAAAATGTTTGTAATTTTGGGCAATATGACAATCTGGTATTAGCTGAGCTATGGGAAAGACAGCCCTTCATCCAATCATAAAAATATGCTGGATAGGATCCAGTTAATTTTAATCCTGAATATTTTCCAAAATTCCCCTCCTGCTTTTAATATCTCTGCCAAGGAACCACTGGGACAACTCAGTGAATCAATATAAATTTTGCACATACAGAAACACCACTCCTTACCTTTTTTAAAAAAAAAAAAAAATCAGCAACACCTATCAAGGGAATTTACAAGTAACAAAATGGAATTTACTTGCAGAGAAACAGCAAATTACAGCGTGACAGCAGAGAGCCCTGCGTATAAGGAACAATGACCTAGGAAGACAGGACCTGACATTATATTTAGATCGTATTATTTGTTCAATAACTCAACCATATCACTCCCTTTTCCAAAGGTCAATAAGTCACTTACCTGGTAATTCAGAAAATAGAAAACTTTTTAGTATGTGTTCTTGGTACCTCATTGTAATAGTAATGTCCTGCACACCAGTGAGGGAATGAGATCTCTTAATAACACTGACACCTTCTCAAACAGGGCATCTGTATATGTACTTCTGAAAGTCAAGCCTGCAGTTAATTCAAAGCAGTTGTGCATCATGAACTGACTGAAATGCCTAAAGGGATTTCTGGAACCAAGATGAAATTTCATTGATTGATCCTATTCAAAAATATTTCCAAATTAATGACTTACATTCTCTAAGATGCAAAGATATAGGACTGAGGTGGCTTAGATGATCAGGCTAAAGATTTTTAAAGAGAAGGGAAATACCATAAATACCCTCCTCGTCCGTCTTTCTAAAAGCCAATTCCATAGTCATAAAAAAAATGAAAAATTAAAAAAAAAAAACTTTTAATGTAATAAATATATTCTCAGTACCTAATTCAAAAACCACACCTTGCGCTGGGCAAGGGAACGCCAGGTCTCCTGCTCCTGAGAACCATCCACACTGCAGCCCGTAACAATAGGAGCCTTACCCAATCCTTCCCACACTGAAAACTAGCTACCTAAACTATACTCTGTCCAACCACAGGAAACACCTCCAGAGCAAGGCACGGAAAAAAAGCACCTCTGGTAGAAAGAAGTCACTGGAGACACAGAAAATGAAAATGTAATCTGGTTCAAATTTTTTTAAAATGTAACCATTCGTGCAATTAAAATAAGACCATAAACCGTCTAAAATAATAGAAAGGAAAAGCAAAGAAAATCTAGATCATGGAACAAACATACACAATAAGGAACAGCTAAGAAACCAAAAGAGAGACATAGACCTAACATCAGCTATGACAACAGTGTTAACTGTGTTTAAAAAACAAAGAATCCTGTACAGTCAAATAAGAAAGGTGAGCACCCAAAGAACTACTTAAGCCCAAAAAGATTAAAAACTAAATGTGACAGAATGCTGTGTAAACGAGCCTTCAATGAGACCTACAGCTTCCCTCTGGTTTAATAATGAGCATAACCCACAACAACATCGTGTGACATTAAAAAAAATGAAAAACTCAAAAGAAGCCCCAAAATGCAAATTATACGCTCCCCACTATCTGAGCACAATACAATAAAAGTAGTTCATAAAAAATGTATATTAAACCTTTCTCCTCCATAAGAACAAGGAGGAAATCAACTTCAATAATACTTAATTTAAATACGGGGTAAAAGCTTAGCAGATAAGACCAAAGCTAAAGGCAAAGGTAATAATAACCTTGAAAGCCGACACTTTGAGAACAAAAATGAATAATCAATCATTCAACTGAAAAAAGAGAAAAATTAAGGAAAATGGGGGAAAAAATCAGTAAGCAGAAAAATAAGAGAACTGGCAGAGCTAAGAAACAGCTCTTCAAAAAGACTAACCGACAATTCTTCCAACACACCTAACTTCACAGACAGAGGAGTAAATACAGACAAGAGGGAAAGAGGACGCGGCCACAGGAAGCCGCGGCCACGGGGCGAGGGCGGCCAGGCCTCGGCAGCACTGACCTGATGAGGGCCTTCAGAATGTCGGCCCTGCCCACACGCGACGCGTGGTAGACGGGGGTGCTGCGGTGGTGCCGGCTTCCGTTGGGGTCGGCGCCAGCTTCCAGCAGGATCTGGGCGCTCTCCAGGTGTCCGTTCACCACAGCCACGTACAGAGCGGTCTGTCCTTTTACGTCCACGAGATCCACCTCGGCCCCTTTCCGGATAAGGAAGTCCACACAGTTCCCGTGGCCCGCGGTGGCCGCGATTCTCAGCGGTGTGCAGGGGAGCCAGCCGCAGCACCAGACAGACTTCTCGTTGATGCGGCTAAGAGAGAACACAGGGGAGCCAGGCTGTGGGGGGCAGCTGGGAAGCCCACAAGCTGCCCTGCTTCCTCCCATACTGGTCCATGCTGGCAACAGAGAACGGGAGGGCAACCTCTTCAAACGGGGACTCCCAGGCCTCAAGAATGCCTCCGCGTGTGCTCTGTTCTATGAGATGCTGGGTCTGGGCGTGGGGCAGAGCAGATCTGGAGAGCCCATTCCACAGCGGAGGACACTGAGGCGCAGAGCTAAGATCTCAGATCTCCCAAAGGGTGGAAGGGTGTGCCCAGGGAGGCAGCGCAGGATGGAGAGCAGCGCACGTGCTGGCAGCCCGCCAGGGTCCTGAGGCCCCTTCTCACCAGCCACTCGCTGTGGAGGCCTGAGGTTGAGCCTTGGCATCCCCACTGGGACCGGGTGACCCCTGTGGTCCTTCTCCCTGTGACACGGCACAAATGACAGCCTGCAGAAGTGGCCAAGGCCACGCAGCGCTCCACTCCCGGCCAGCAGCAGAGGGCAACGGGCTACGCTCAGCTCTCATCAGAAACTGATGATCAGACTGTGACTCCCTGTCAAGGAATGCCGTGGCCATGCAGCCCACTGACCCACCACATCATCAACCAAGACACAGTTCACTTCAGGCTCCCAGTGCAGCTGTGAACAAAGCGTGGCCATCCAGCCCACTGAAGAGTGACACAGAGATACACAGTTGGCCAGGGCTTCCTCCTTCAGCTGAGCTCTGGCTCCCACTAGCCAAGAAGACCAAGGAACACTCCAAGGACTCATGATCAAAGTACAGAGCAACAGAAACAGATCATTGAGAAACAGATTTATTCAAGCCAGATAGAAGAAGAAAGAAAAAAAAAAGTACTTGGAAAAGCAATATGAAAATATCTAGTTGAACTCTACTTTATTCTATTGTTTTTATTCTACTGTTGCATATTGTTTTTATTCTACTGTGGCATCTGCAAATTTAAGGTTTCCTTTGGGCCTGAGTCATTTGCATTAAATATTCATGCAGAATCCATTTGCCATCTTTGTATGACAATCCTTTCTGGGTATTTAGAGCTTTTTTTTTTTTTTTTTTAAATACTGGTATCTATTTTGATGAAATAATGCTAAGACATCAGAAGTAAACCAAAACTCTCTTTTCATTTAGGTATTAGAAGGCTTTACAATGAAATCGAGAAGTAAAAATATAAACAGAAGCACAGTTCTGGAAAGTGCTAGGGGTCTTCCCCACTGCAGCTATTAGCAGACCTCCAACCTCAGCCCGTACTTACACACACCGCAAGGCCCACTTCGTGAATTTGCTACCGAGAGAATCCAAAACAGAGATACTGAGGAAGAACAAAATAAAGTTTTGTACGAACTTTTCAGCTGACAATGACCCCAGGACTGTCCAATGCCCCGAGCACCTGAGATGGAATTACAATCCATGAGAACAAGGCCATTTCTGCTTTACCAAAGCCAAATGGGATTCCGTCAGCAGCACAGACAGGATGTGGCTCACCGGGGCAAGAATCGGTGTCGACTTTCACTGCAGATCACCTTCCTCCTCACTGCAATCAACTGCTGCACTTGCATTCTACTCATAAAGCAGAAACTTTTTTATGGGGTCTGGCAGAGGCAGCGAGGGAATCAGATGGAGTCGGTATTTGCCAAGAGCTCTTCTCACGGCCACACGGCACAGACTCAGCAAGGTCCTGGGGACACCTGGAACGCCGAGGGAAGAAAGGGAGACAGAGGGAGGGAGGTTAGCCAGAGGCTGGCTGAGACTGACAGAACTGCCCTGAGTGCTCACTGCCAACTTCCCAATTTTACAGTAGAGAGAGTGGCCCCCGGGGAGGAAGGTCTGTCATCCGCTCCTCCCGCCTGCACAAGGAGTGCAATCTTCACCTGGGGCACCTGCCCACCGGGATGGCACCTCCTTGACCGGGTTTAACTTCCTAGAGAGAAACAAGAGCTGACCACTGAAGGCCCGGACAGGTGTGAATGACGGACCCTAACCCTCCGTCAGCCTCTGCTCTTGGTCAATCCCAGGAGCTCCCGGGGGACCCCGGACAGATAGGCCGAGCAGTCTGTGAGGAGTGCAGGCTCACAGTTTTGTGGTGGGTCAAAAGCCTAACCACGTCTCTGCCTTGTGAAGCAGGCACGAGGCAGGCAGCCTCTCTCAGAACAACTCCAACTGACCACTAACCAGCTCTGTGGGGGAAGGCTCACCGGGAGCACGTTTTTAATGACCGGCTTAGGAAACTCCAACAACAGAAACACAATGAACTCAAGTTCTGTGAGAGGCAAGGGTTAGGGAAAAGGTTTTCAACTCAGATGTCTTCGAGACCCAGGCGAGAAGGAGGCCAGGCGTGGGCAGGTCATAGAGGGCCCACAGCAGCCAGCAGGAGGTGCACAAGGTCCACTTCTGAGCCCCAGAGTGAGCCTCGGACACGAAGACCAAGCTCCAGATCAACAGCAAACAATCTGGCTATTGATTTATTAATTCATTAGCAAAATCTTTCTTCATAAATAAGCAAGCTATGGAGTCGATTCTAACAAAAACCAGACGTATCACACAATAAAAGTAACGGTATTTGAGTGGAACTAAAGAAAGGGCATGAGGACCCCTAGAGGAGGAAGGGCTTGCAATTTATTGTCAAACATTTAAAAACCACGCGTAAGTGAAGGACTTTGGGGTCACAAAGCAGAGCAAAGAGGTAAAGCAGTCAACTATAATTCCAGGAACTTTGAACATGTACTTTTATATATTTCTTTATATCAACTCTTGGTGTCTAGGAATTTGAAAAGACCAATCTGGGAGTATTCTAGAAACTTCCTAGCCCTAACTGCAGATTCTGACTAAGTGCTTTGTTGGAAGAGTTTGTTTTAATCACTACAGCTCAATTCCTTCAAGTAACCCACACAGACTGCAAGTCAGAAGGGAACTCAGGCCACTTACTTCTGGCCTCTTTAAAGACCTGCAACGCCTCAGGGTCCACCTTCCTTCTGCCTCTTGACTCTGGGCCCAAGGATTCCCACTTCACCAGGTTCAGGTTGGCTCCGAACTCTACGAGCAGGCTCACGAAGGCCGCTTCACAGCCATGACGCAGGACGGCATCCATGACACACCCGGGGGAGCCCCTGTAGAAGCCCTGCGTGTTGACAGGACCATTGCAGTTGAAGTCGGGGTTCGCCCCCGCCTGGAGAAGCAGCCTGAAGCACTGGAGGTTGTGGTAGGCTGCGCTGATATACAAGGGGCAGACCACCAAGGAGGTGAGGCGCCGGGAGAAAGGGGGCCGGATGTCAGGAGTCAGGTGATGATTGACGTCGACGTCAGCCCCATACCTACAGGGAGACACAGGGACAGTGAGACCTTGCGGTAGACTGACCGAAGTCAACAGATCCCCACAGCACCGGAGACAGGCCTGACCTCCATGAGCACCGGGGAGCTGCTGAGGAGACGCCACAGATCACAGCAGTCTCATGACTTCCAGGAAGGTAAGATCGTACTTAAGAACTTGGAAACCACCCACACAACAAATTCATCGGGGAACTCTTCAAACCCTTTGAAGAGCTGACAATCTTATGGCTATTCAAAGTACTTCAAAAAAAGGGGGGGAAAAAGGAAAAATTCCAAATTCATCTTATGAAATTAGCAAAACAATCCCAAAACCTGACAAAAGCCACAGCATTAAAAAAAAAACTACCAACTGATTTCACTTATGAGTATCAACTTAACCACCTTCAATAAAATGTTAGCAAAGCAAATCCAAAGTATATTAAGAAAGCAATATACCATGACCTCATGCGGGTTATTCCAAGAATGCAAGGCTGGTTCCAATATTAGAAATCCTAAGAACACAGTCCATCATATTCACGGAACTAAGGGGAAAATCATGATTACCTCTATAGATGAAAAAAAGAAGGCATGAGACAAAACTCAACACTAATGCAGGTTTATAAATACTCAATAAAATAAGAAGTGATAGACACTTCCTTCACAAGATAAAACCCAGATGTTGGCGTCTCACCTAATGGGGAGAGGGGAAGCTCTCCTATGGAAGCCAGAGCAAGCTGCCTACACCCATTCTCCAGCCCACTATTACTCAGACATTTTAAAGATGTATTTATTTATTTGAGAGAGAGAGGGTGCGCAACTTGATCTCAACACCCTGAGATCATGACCTGAGCCGGAATCAAGAGTCGGACAATCAACCAACTGAGCCACCCAGGTGCCCCTAATTCAGGCATTTTAAATAAGGGTATTTTAGTGCAATCAGACAAGAGAAAGCAATTAGCTGATTAAGATCATAAAGGAAGAGAAAAAACTTTCCCTATTTCCAGAGGATATGACTATGTCTGGAAAGCCCTGAATAATTAATGAAAATACAATAAGCAATGAGAGAATTTATTACTTTAATAAAATTATAAAATCAACAGCCTTCATACATACAAAAATAAGTTCAAAGACAAAATGGAAAAGACCTCATTTATGAAAGCAAAATAAATTTTAAAATGAGATATCTAAGCATAAACTTAACAGTACATGTCCAAAATTTGCATGAGGGAAGTTTACAAAATACTCCTGAAGTCATACAAGCAGACTTTGGAAATGGAAAGCCCCATCCCCACCTTGGAGAGGAGGGCTCAACACTATTAATAGATCAGTTTCCTGAAGTCTGTTATAAAAATGAAAATCCCATTCTTAGAGTAACTTGATTATAGGGCGCCTGGGTGGCTCAGACGGTTAAGCGTCTGCCTTCGGCTCAGGTCATGATCCCTGGGTCCTGGGATTGAGTCCCACATCAGACTCCCCCCTCAGCAGGGAGCCTGCTTCTTCCTCTGCCTCTGCCTCTTTCTCTCTCTCTGTCTCTTATGAATAAATAAATAAAATCTTCAAAAAAAAGAACTTGATTATAAATACAAATAAACAAAACTAACATCTCTGGAGTTACAGAAGTTGATTATAACATCTATTTGGAATATCAAACAAGAAAAGATATAACAGGAAAGCTTTTAACATGAAAATTAAACAAAGAGGGACGCCTGGGTGGCTCAGTCGGTTAAGCGTCTGCCTTCAGCTCAGGTCATGATCCCACAGTCCTGGGACTGACCCGCGCATCGGGCTCCCTGCTCAAGGGGGAGCCTGCTTCTCCCTCTGCCTGCCACTCCCGCTGCTTGTGCGAGCACGCACTCTCTCTCTGACAAATGAGTAAATAAATAATCTTTTTAAAAAATTCTAAAAAAATTAAACAAAGAAAAATGTTTGCATGGCAAAAAGCAGCATAAGCAAAGTAAAACAATAAGTGGAAAAGTTGGGGGAATGTTACAAAGGATTAATATCCTTAATACAGAAAGAGCTAATAAAAGGAAAAGATCGGGGCATCTGGGTGGCACAGTCAGTTAAGCATCCGATTCTTGGTTTCAGCTGGGGTTGTGATCTCAGGGTCATGATCCTGGGATCTAGCCCCGTGTTGGGGTCCATGCTGTGCACGGGATCTGCTTGCGACTCTCCTCTGCCCCTCCCCCCTGCTCATTCATGCTCCCTCTCTCTCTCTCAAATAAATAAATAAAATCTTTTTTTAAAAAAAGGAAAAGA